TCGATCCTCAGACTTGAAATGTATAATATCAATCACCGACTTTCATACACGCTCCTATTTCTTCAAAACAAGTTTGATCTCCTCCTGTGTGTCTTCAAGCATCCCCACAACAAATTCCGTTGAGGGTCCATAGTTGCTAGTGACCACCCTCAACATGCGAAAAAGGACAGCATAATCTTTAATAACTTGTTTATAGATTGCCACCAACTTTCACACAAAACAATAGCCTCCACTTTTCTACCCCTTGCGGTCTTGGATTGCTTGTTTTTCCTCCATTCTTCATCAGAAAAACATGAGTCTTAGCTTCAGCTTCTTCTCATGAACACTCACAGGGTCAAGATTGCAGTGGCGAAGCGAGTGACTCCAGGTCTAACAATCTCCCTCATCTGACACACGTGACGTATCATGCTCAAGATCTTGTGGTGGCTGTAGATAAAGACGGTAAGGGCCTTCACTTTATCAATGGTTGTTTTGAAGGTTGACAACTTCTCAATGCCCTTAACCATCATGTCAATAGCATGAGCTGCACAACTGGTCCAAAAGATACTTGACCTCTTCTCCTTCAGTATTTGCTTCGCCGCCATATTTGTAGAAGCATGTCTGTGACAACCTGAATGACCTTCTGTGGCCTAATCTCCTCAATGCATGCATCCATCTACTCAAAAATGTATTCCATAGTGTGTGACCCCCGGAGCACTTAATCGACTTATAAAAAGTCATGCCTAGCCTCCTGTGGATGCACAGGTTCATGATCGACCGTATCTTCCTATCTGATCAAGCATCTGTTATTATAGAACAACCACTTTCCCCTACTCCTCCTCATGCTCCCTCAACATATACATGTTAGACGGTCGTTAGGTACATTCATAATCCCCAATAGCGCTGTACATCCACATAAAGGAGTCGGTAGAGAAGGCATGAAAAGGAATGCTATTCTCATATGTCCATCTAGCAACATGCTTGTGGACCCCACCTCTCTTCTCCTTCGTATAAGCTTCATTCACTCCAGGTTGAATCATCTTTCCCTTTGTTCTTTTTGCTAGCAAGGGATCACTAGCAGTATAAGCATCCATCGGCCCAACGGTCGGGTCGCTAGACCTCTTTGAAGATCCATCCGTTGTATGTGTAGAAGAGACAATTTCCTATCCTTCTTCAATAGTCGTTGCATCCGGCTTGTCGAACTGTGCTTCATCTTGCAATTCCATGATATGCATCTCTTTCAGTTTCTTCCTTCTGGAATTAGCATCCACAGCTTCTTACACCTTCTTCCTATTAGCGGCCAAAATCTTAGAGCACTTTACACAACTGTTAGGAGAATTGGCATTGTAAACCTCACCTTCCCTCTCCCTCC